TTATACTTAGTCTATTTGCACGAGTTGTAATGTATAAAATTGGCCCAAATGTGCAAAGTAAAATTAAAGATGTCATATAATTAGTAATGCCAAGTGAGAGGGGGGGGAGGGTGCAACCCCCCCAGTCTTTCTCAGAGCACGGTCTATAGCTACAATGTTAGAAAATAATTGTAGGCAAGGAAAATTTCTCAATTCGTCGAAATCACTCCCGTATGTCGGTGGATTACATCATAACGTTCGATGTTATGTTGTATCATCTACACTCGTTATATTATTCATTTATAATGATCGACTTCCGTACATACTTTACTAATAGAGAGTTTAAGCTTCGCGTTATTCATCAAACAGCAAACGGCAGGCAAAGAAAAATTTTACGGTATCAAGCAATAAAGAGTAAATTAATTACTTGCTGTTTTACAGGTAAACTACGTGAAGTGTTCCTCTTTTGAGTTTCTAAATTGATTGCAATTTTCCTCATTACTTTTGCAATTTAAAAAACTCCCTTGCAAATTCCTTGAGGGAATTTGCAATGTTGCTAAAAGCCAAAAAAATTTTCCTCAGTTCCTGTTAGAAGTTCTTAACTTCCTGTTACAAGTTCCTAACTTCCTGTTCTGTTCTGCGTGCTGCAATTGGCTAACAAAAATAATCGACCAATAACAACGCTCAGAACAGAACAGGAAGTTAGGAAATTAAAACAGGAAGTTAGGAAAATTTAAAATGAAGTTTGTTTGCATTGGAATATTGCAACAGCCGATAGGAACATTACAAATTCCCTCAAGGGGTTTGCAAAGAGTTTTTCAAATTTGCAAAGCTAACGAGGAAAATTCCAAATGAGTTACGAAGTCAAAAGAGGAACACTTCACGCAGTTTATCTGTAAATGCATGATGGTTCAAATATTATCGATTTCACTAGCAGTGATTTCAAGACGTTAAGCCCTGGGGCGGCCTGGGCAAACTAGGAAACATTGTTGTGGAAACATTTGTGATTCTCGATGTTTCCTCAAATGTTTTCCTGTTTGCCCACCCGTGGAAACATTGTTGCAGAAACAAAATTTGCTTCCCGAGAAACAAAAATGTTTCCTAGTGAATTCAGAAACATGTGATGTTTACGTTTCCCTATGTTTCTCACTAATGTTTCCTAGTGTTAATTTGCCCACTCGTGGAAACATTGGTAGGAAACAATGTTCGTTTCCGCAACAATGTTTCCCAGTTTGCCCAGGGCATTAGGGATTATGTATAGTCGCATTCCTGAATGTTTTAACACAAAAACATGAAATTTTTTTGGGCGAAAGTGATATCCAAGGTAATGTACTACCTGACTGCATGATTTCTGGTAGATTGAGTCCCGTAGTTGCTGAATAGCATGTGAGTTGAGAATTGTTGTGCTGTTATGATTTGTGTATGGACATTCAGGAGCGAAATTACGGGGGGGGAGGGTGTGTGTGTGTGGGTGTGGGGGGGGGAGGGTTGCCCCCTGTCTATCTCGTCGGGTATATCCATACAATTTCGTCGGGCAAATTTTGAACTGATATTTGAGTGTCTCGGATTGAAATTTTTTGATAAATTTACGAAAATATTTCTGAAAAATTAGTACAAATTACGGTAAATTATTTCGAAAGTTTGTGAAAAATGTTATGTTCGGAATTCATCTCCCCGGCCCAAAAAAACTATTTTGGGAAAAGAAATGTTGAGTAGCGGCTGAAATGTTTGTTCTTCGGGAACGACTTCGGCCACGCCCTTTTGGTCGGGCAAAACAAGCCCCCACCCCCCACTCCCCAGTCGTAATACTGAAGTTTCGCCACTGTGGACATTTCTAGCTATACAATTATTAAAGGTTTTGACTAGTGTCAGTAGCAGTTAACTAAATTTTTGTAGCCATGCATAAGTGATTACTGTTTAAACCACGCGAGACTCAATCTTGCGTTGTGAATGCAGACTTGCAGTGGAGTACATGACGTATAATGCACTGCACGTCTGCATTCACAACGCAAGATCGAGCCTCGTATGGTTTAAATATATACCTATGGCTCCAAGAACAGTTTAGTGCTTTGGACCATTTTACTCTAGTTTGTGCCCATTACTGATACAACTCCTTTGATTTGATCCGGGCTTTTACGTTTTACCATAACTCGATAAACAGATCAATAATAATTTTGCACGAAAGCAATATAGGCTGGCCGCCATATTTGAAGCCAATCATATTTATAATGTCCCCCATGCAGGTATGGAGTGAAAAATCCGCCGCCTAAAGGTCATGTTACACGGTGCAATTTTTCTTGCAACTTGCAATGCAATTCTACTCTTGAGAGATGTTAATTAGTGAAATCAGTGAAGAATTTTCGATATGTTGAGAAAACATCAGCAGAGTGTAATGAAGACTCGTATTTGGCAATTTTACATCTCTCAAGGGTAGAATTGCATTGCAAGTTGCAAGAAAAGTTGCACCGTGTGACATGACCTTAAAAGACATCTGTTTTCGAGCACTAAATTGCTGTATTTCAACAAGGAAAAAAGATTAATACAAAATATGTTTCCAGAACGCAGAACAGTTTTAAAGTTCTTTTCTCAGGAGTCAAGGTGCGAAGTTTTTTTCGGCACGTCACCAAACTTGTGTAAAATTTTGAATAGGAAACTGTTATCCAGGGTATTTTTGCTGTTAGTGGATATAAAATACTTAGTTAGAACTATTCAGGAAACAGGTTTGAATCATTAGTAAAATTGAAGCCTTTTGATAAAAAGCTTTCTTGCTAATTTTTTCTCAACACTGACAAACTTTTGACTGAATTTCCCGCTCCTCAAAACTCTCCCTAGTCCTTTTGAAAGTTAATTTATCCCACGCGGCTCCCGCGCAGCATGGATAATAAAATAAATGGATGGGAAACTAGCTGACGTGACCTAATGTTTTTACTGGGATTGATGGCGTGGTTGGATGCCTCAAGAGGGGGGTAATGGGGGGGGTACCGATCCTGAAGCACGAAAAACAATATGCAGCGATCTTGAAGCATGAAAAATAAAAGAAGGAAGTCCTGAAGCACGTAAAATAAATTTATTACGAATCTGAAATGTAAAGTGAACATGAAATGTAAGCAACAATCATACTTAGAAGTCTTAAAGGTGAATATAAACAGTCTGTACTAGGCGGTGTGTTCACCTATTTGTTTACAATTGCGTCGATGTTCATGATTTATATAAACTTTGAAACCTCCGTTCCCCAATCAAAACATAGCTAAAATCCAGAAACAAAATTAATGGAATATATTGTCCAGAAACGAGAAATAACCGTCTTTAAATACAGCTGAAAACGGAGAACGGATATTCAATACACCGCAAGCACGATACACGGCATCCATGTCGGGATCAAAAAACGTTTAATAAAAAGATGACTGAACGAAGAACGAATAATTAAATTACCCCAATACGAAGCACGAAAATACCCCATTACCCCCCTCCCTCAACCTAGTTGAAAATCAAATTGTCAAAAACGGCATGTTTAGCAATAATACAGCTAAACATTTTAGTTAAAGAGCAAATAAATGTAACCACGCCATTCTACGATGAAAACTCTAAATATTCCCAGTCAATTTTAGCAAATATTTCAAGCACTAAACAGTGAAAAATACATCGCAAATTTCGTTAAAATTTGTGACGCCAATTTCGTAGCTACAAATGTAAAAAATACAAAACAAAGACGAAAAACATTTACCTTGAATACTTTGTCGTGGCTTAGGCATGTTTTTAAAACAATTAGACCAGTTTACGCTTCAAGATCACCCTTTTAAAGTGGAAAATATAGCAAAACAACAAATATGCCGAGAACTTTGGTAACATTCGCAATACGCGTGACGTCACGTTTTTCAACAAGGATGCAGTCAATGACGTCAGAAGTTTCCAATCCATTTATTTTATTATCCATGCGCGCAGTAATAATTGGTGCCTATAAATTGGTTACTTTGAATTTGTACTCGAGCAAAAGTATATATAGACGTAATTAACAATAAAACGACTTGAGTAAGAGTAAAAAGTACTGGAGGCAAAACGTACTTAAAAGTAACAAGTACAAAGTATCCTTAAAAATACTTGAAATAAAAAGTAAAAGTACTATTGTCTGTAGCGTGTAGACGGGGGGGGGGGGGCTTTTCAAATGGATTGACATACAAAAGACACAAAACAACACACGCATTATATAAGTGCACCTAATATACAGTATTTCACGGCATGGTCTACTTCCAGACCCCGTTGAAGATACTTATAAGAAATCCATTAAATAAATAATGCTTATATAAGTAAGCCACAAACGAGAGATCCCCCAGACGCATGTATAAAGGTCCTATTACCTATCCCAAAATTAAAATAAATCAGGAATAATTTATTCCTGATTAAAGCACGTAACATTAAACAAAAGTTAGAAAGTAACGAAACACTTCGCCGCAAAATGAAACTGATAACGAAGTACAACGTTACTTCTTGAAACGACTTCGAATTCGTTCCAAGTAAAAGTACTCCAGAAAATTAGGTTTACTTTATTGCATGCTGACTTCAAAAATAGTTTTCAAGTACAGTAACGAAGTACATTTACTTCGTTACTTAACACCACTAGGAGTTATCGTTCCAGTTTATACTTACAGTTCACTGCGTCCAACAGCTCTTCAATTTCAGCCATCTTGGCTTCATATTTATTTTGGATTCGAGTTATCGCTCTATTGTTTGCCAACAATTATTTTAGGAATATGTGACACTCCAGCTGCCCACTTCCAACTCTCCGCCTGCATTATTTCAATCTGAACAATTATTTCTTATAGAGTTATGGGTTTCACGCTAAATTTTACGTCACTGAAGAACTTTGTCTTCCTCTATTTATCACTTCGCCTGTTTACGGAAGGAGTGGAAGAATTCCTAATCCAACCAACTGCTTGGTATTACATGAAGTATCTGGGAGAGTCAGATTTATTCCTTGGACTAACATTGGCTGCTTATTCCGCAGGGGCGTTGTTATTCGCGCCATTTGTTGGGGTTCTCGAGGTTAAATTTCAAGCAGCAAAAATGATCACTGTTTTTTCTGCCTTTGTGAGGTTCTTTGGTAATTTATTGTACTCAATTCCTATCAATGGATACTTTCCTTTCTTTGGAAGGTTAATATGTGGTCTAGGTGCAGCTACAGAAGGAGTTTTGTTCGGTGTTGTAGCTAAAGGAACCACCAATAAGAATCGTGCTAAAGCATTTTTATATCTCGAAGGACTCTACAGCCTTGGTACTATATTTGGCCCGACATTAGGTAGCGTTCTGACATTTAACGTGGATATATATGGTTGGAAAATCAACGCAGGTATCTATATGATCCATCTATCTTCACTGACAAATTATTGAAGTTAATGTAATATGATTATATGTTATTGCTACTCATAAAGAAAACTAATTTTTATGTATACCAATTTTTTATGCCTTTTTGTCTTTGCAAACACTTTTTTGGCGGTTTCTTCTTCGAATCGTGCTCACAATAATTTTGTCCAGCTAATAACAGTTTTTTTCGCTTCTCATCAGTAATGTGAAAACATTTTTGCAAACATCTCCATTTTTTAAAGATTTCTCCCCCCCCCCCCTCGATTCAGTAATGATCCTTCCGGTTTTCCACTAGGCGGAATTTTGTGTGTGGAGCGGAATTTTTCTGTTTCTTTTCTAATTAGTTCCACCCGAGAAATCAGAAGACAAAGAAAAATCCCAAAGTGATTGTCCTAATCCATATGCATGTTCAACCTAATACTTGGGCAAAAAAGCCAGCTAGGAGAAGGCAGAGAAGCGCAATATACTCAGTGCGTCGCTATTTTGTGGTAAAATAGCCCAATATATAACAGTGGAGTATATAGCCCAATATATAACAGTGAATTGTCACTTTAGTGACTATATATGCGCGATTAATAAACAAAACATATTCTTTATCTAATTTATATATAGGTTTTCAGGAATGGAAAACTTCAATTTTAAGTAAAAACGCTGTATTTTTTATCCATTCTACTGTCAAGAGGCTTTTTGTTTTTTTTGTTGGGTGGGTTTTTTGTTGTTTGGGTGGGTGGGTTTTTTTTTGGTGGCCGGGTGGGTGCGTGGGTGGGTGGGGGTGAGGTGAAGCCAGAACGCCGGGGGTGAGGTGAAGCTAGAACGATTAAATTTCCAGGATATTCTTTGCTTGCAAATGACCTCACTACGTGTCATTAGGCGCCATCTTGGTTGATTTTAAAGTTTTGTCCAGCCGTTTACATCGAAATAGTTGAGTTACTTTAATATTTTTGATTTAATTGTTTTGAAAAAATCTTACTACATTATGGATAGTTTACAATTTCTGGTACAATACGCAAAGAATGAAGAATATATATTTTTAGTTGCCACGAAAACCAACCAAGATGGCGTCGATTGCAAACGAGCAATATGGTTGGATTAACCAGATTATGTTAGGTGGACATTAACCAAGAATTATATTCCTGGTTAAATTTAAGCAAGAATCCTGGTTAAATTAGCCAGGACTATTATCACGTTAACCAGGATTGTGCATCGGCGTACCGGAAGGAAAAACATACGGGGGCGGAAAGAAATTTGCCCGACTTTTTGGGATTGTGCCCGACTAGCACCTAAAAAATTTTTTCCGGAAAAATTATTTCGGGGACCTCCCCCCCCGTCCCCCAAAATTTTTCGGTCAGTGTACCATTTTAGGGGTCAAAAAATTTTTCCGGACATACCAAAATTTTTCGGAACGTCACACAAGTTTTCCGAACAACACAAAATTTAGCACAAAATTGACTGAATTTTCGACAAATTGACAGAATTTGTCCCATTTATTTTTATTAGAAACCAAAATTGCCCGACTGTTGATCGAATATTGCCCGACTGCCAAAAAAACTGGGGGGGGGGGGGGCTACGGCCCCCCCCCCAGTACGCCTATGGGATTGTGGTTAAATTAATCAGGGGCCGGTTGTACAAAGGCCGGACAGCGCTATCCACTTGATAGTCAAATTTTCAATCGGAATAAGCGTTTACTAACATAGATAATGAGTTATATGGTTATTCTAATGAGTTTCACAGCCATCTTCTCTTCGATTGGCTATGATCAGGCTTGAGGGTCAAAAATCGCTATCCGGTGCATAGCGCTATCCAGCCTTCGTACAATCTGCCCCAGGAAATTTAACCTCAAACATTAATTAAAGTTACCCCGAATAGGGTTAAGTACTATTTAAAACACGAGTAGGAGTGTTTTATCAGATATAAAACGCGAGGCGCAGCCGAGCGTTTTATGTCTGATATAAAACACGACAACGAGTGTTTTGAATAGCTTAAAATACGACTACAAAAGAATACTAATTAGGATGGACCATTATATAATCATACTAATTGGGAGATATAAAGTCACTCCACGTGACATATTATGACTGACATGATTTGCCGTTTATGAATTATTAATGAGTATTTTAATTAATTTTATGTCGGGTGAACCAGGAAATTTTTAACTAGTTTTTAACCACACTTTTTCAGAGTGTACAACAATACAAGAGCTATAGTTTTATATCTTCTTTTTTCTCTTCCACAGGTAACTCGCCAGGCATCATTTTGATATTTATCTGGTTAACCTTACTACTGTTCGCGCTATTTTTACCAAGTGATCTTGCAGAAAACTCCGGAATTAATGAGAGATTGGTTATTGAGGAGAAGAATGACCATGATCCTGCCTTTTCTAAATCAATCGTTGACTATAGTCATAATGGTTCTTCTCCCTCGGCGATGGTTTTTGCAGAAACATCCGACAAGGTAACTGCGGTGGTTGAAGAAGATAGCGAGGATGATATTAGATTATCTAAATCAGTCGCTGAACCAGGTTGCCGTCCATCGTCAATGGTTTTTTGTCTATATTACCTAATTTGTTTATCTTTGTTTGTCTATATGGTTATTTCATTTTATGTTCCATTGCTGGCGAAATACCATCTTGGATTGGGACTTAGTTATGTGAAGTTAATTTACGTTAACAGTTCTTTGTTCGTTTCCGTTTTATTCTTCGCTACCTCTCTCTTCTTGGAAAAAATCTCCGAAAACAGTTTTCTTTTTGTTACAATTTTTGCTCAGGTGATCCCAATTTCAATCACGTTTTACTTCGGTCTTTCTTGGAACAACACGATGTCGGTCAATGAAAGTTATCTTCTCGTTTGTTCGATGTTATTTCTAAGCGCCCAGTTCTTAAATACCCCTATAGCCTCGTCCGTGCTGTCGAAAATCACACCAGTAAAGAGCGCTTCATTTTATCAAAGTCTTACGTACACTGCAGTGCATTTGGGAATGTGTCTTAGTCGTCTTGCAGCGGGGGCAACGTTTGGTAAAATGGCAATGATATACACTAGTGCTGTTCTCGCATTTTTTTGGTTATTTGGAATATTATGGTTGGGTTATGAATATCGCAACTTTGCTCGACTTGTTACTAATACTGAAGTTTGAAAATATCAGTACTGCATGGATACGGCTCTTGTCTTAGTACTCATGGGAACTTGTTTTAGTACTGTGTACTGAGGATCAGCAAGCTACAAGCTATAACCAGATGCAATGCAGAAGCTGTGAAAATCCTTGATTTCATTGGTCAATATAAGCAATCCAAACTTTGTCTTCGCGTCCTAAACGGAGATAAAATTGTAATGTATAGCTGAGACTTGAAGTGTTAATTAAAAGTACTGTACATAACAATATTCAACTGTTCGATCTCCAAAAGTGTGTTCTATACATTTCTACATATTAATTATATATATATATATATATATATATATATATATATATATATATATATATATATATATATATATATATATATATATATATATATATATATATATATATATATGTTATTTACCGGCTGGGAGGTCCGGATAGAAAAATATTTTGTCGAGGTCTCAAAAACGGGCCGAAGGCCGAGGGACGTTTTTGAGACCGAGACAAAATATTTTTCTATCCGGACCGACCTAAACGGTAAATAACGTATTTATTTTTTTGTCGAAGACTCAGAGGCAAATGGCAACGGTTTTATTAGATTGCGCATATAGAAAACAAAACAATAAAAAAAATTTGATATTTAATTATTTTACTTTAGAAAACAAACAATTCAATTAAAATACAGTACAATTATTTTATCCATCATTAAAATTATTTCAAAATTACATATTCATATTTTTCAGTTTTAAAACAAACATACAAAAAATTTTTGCTTTGCTTCGGCCATTACGTATAGGATTCCGGACCGTGGTCAAATATCGTAAAATTCCGCCCGCTGCTGCAGCCAATCAGAGTGCAGAAAACGCTAGGATTCCGCCCGCTGCTGATTTACAAAAAAATAAACTTACTGTCTGAATCGATCAAGCTTAGTCAACAAGCACTATACATATAAGAGGAAACAATATCGATTTGGAGGATTCGTGTACCTGTGAGAAACCAGGAAATAGTTTGTTCGTCAAATCCCGTGTCTCGACATGTTCTGGAACCATTTTATGATCACCCTAAAAACAATATTTTTAAAATTCAGTCAATACTTTCTTTGGCACTTTGCATCAGCACATGAATTTTACAACACGAAGCAACACTGAATTTGATAGCTGGTCAAATAACCTTCAAACCAGACCAACCATGCTTGATGCAAAAAAAATGTCAAGTCAAAAACCATCATGTTTAATATTTAACAATTATTAGAGGTGATTATCGGGGAATATTCGCTGAGACGAAGTCGAGGTTAATATTCCCGATAATCACCGAGCCTGAGCCTGAGACGAATAATTGTTTTAGTATTTTTACAAAAGCTTTTGTGTTTTTTGAGACTGAATTTATTTTAATTTCGCTTTTTAAACTTCCACAAAACGGTTAGCCGCTATTTTGCAAATTTCTGTTTTGTAATATTCACCTGTATATTCTGTTTATTATACTGTATGGACTTATTCAGAGTGACAAAAATACACACAAAGACGACATGTAAATAAGCACGCGAAAGACCAGTGTAAAAGCGATATTTTTTAAAATTATAGTGCAAACATAAAACTAGAATAAATTTTACTTATCTCAAGATGTCTTTTAAATGTTTTCGTTTTATTTCCAACGCTAATTTCGTTTTAAATACGAACCAAAGACCATTTGTGTTTTGAAAACAACAACAATAAAAATGGCGGGAAATTTTCGAACTTCGTATGTCACTATATAGCAGAAGTGAAAAACGGAAAATACGCGCACCTGGTCCCGGATGTAGTGACCTATGAGTTCTACGAGTGTTTTAGTTTCCAGTGAAACACCATTGTCCATATAATAAATCATTGTAAGCTAGCTTAAAGTGCATATGACATGAAAATTTTTATTTTCTTAAATGAAAGAACTCTTTAAGTTGTAGTGTGTAACTTATTTTTCAGTTTCTTGTTTTTATGGTTTGTTCACGAGATATTTCCATTTTTTGATATGTAAATGAGTGTGAATATGTCAGCTAATTTATGACGTCATGTTGGTTGCAAGCTCAACTTACACTGGTTTTAAATGTATTAACTCTAAAAACTGTTGATATCAGTTTACGTTTTTCTCCAATGTTTCATCACATTTACCAGTGAGTGATGTTTGAAATTATCATCTTGGATGATAGCAGTGATATTCAACCATTTTGAAGAGCTTGCAACCAACATGACGTCATAAATTAGCGGACATATTCACACTCATTTACATCTCAAACAAATTGAAATATCTCCGGAACAAACTATAAAAACAAGAAACTGAAAAATAAGTTACACTACAACTTAAAGAGTTCTTTCATTTAAGAAAATAAGAAATTTCATGTCATATGCACTTTAATGCAGGGTGTAGCGCACGTAAAAAATATAAATAATAAAAAGCAATGGTGGAAAAGTTATATGTCGTACCTTGAGATGATTCAGAACATGCAACGAAAGACGCTCCTTATTCCCTCCGGCGTGTGTCAGGTCGGTTTCTGAGTTCTCTAAAACAAAATGGAGTGTTTAGGCGCAAAAAACAATACCTGTGGTTCCGGTTCCCAACCGACCCTATTTTTTTCTGCCGATACTATTATTTTTTCAACGCGATTGACCGTGACCCTATTTTCTCCAGGTGGTTGCGGGCTGCTCATACAGCTTGTCAAAATGGCGTCTGTTGTCACACTAATGGACCATTTGCATTATAGACTAAATTTTGATCTAGACAAATATTGCATCACAGCTTGAAAGAGCATCACAAAATTAGTAATATTCCAAAGTTTCGTTGCGAAATGTTGTAAAATGCGGATAATATAGCCTTGCGAAATTTGCAATTTTCAGTCATTTTGTATTACAA